CTCCTCGACGTACTGCTCACCAGGCCACTCCAAGCAATGCGCGTCGGATCTGGACCACCGCCTAATGTGGCAGTGGTCCCAGAGCACTACCAAGGGGATCCAAATTAGAAGTGATTTGGGTATGGAAATGGTTGCAACACGAAAAAAATTGTGGACAGAATGACCGCTTTTATGCCAAATTTATTAACGTGAAAATGAACGGTTTGGACTAGTTCTTATGGCAAAAACGAATTGGCCACTTGGCTGCCCTCTATACCATCCTTATTTATCGTTCATTAATAGTGAATTCCATTACATCATCGATCAATTCATTTTTTTTTTTCTCTTTTATTCACCCTCTCAAGAATACAAGTCTATGTATTAGAGACATCAAGTTTAAATTAAAAAGAAAAAAAAGATTAAAAATACTTTTTTTATTCTCTTTTTTTTGATATTATTTATGTAATTGAAACACATGTGATATAAATTTAATATAATTGATGATAATTTTAAATTTTAAAAACATTAATTTTAATGTCAAATACTAATCATTAATCACTAATTATATTAAATTTATAATTTACATGAGTTAATTACATGGAGAATATTTAAAAGAGAGTACTAGAGAGAGTATCCCTAGTACTCTTTATTCTAGAAAGCGTGAGAAGTGACTTGAGATGAGTAAGATAATCCTTAATTATCTAATCCATAATTAGATAATTATGTAACAAAAAATAATTTATTTTATTTTTTAATCCATTTAGTCAACTTGTAATAAAATTATGCTATAATTAGAGATATCTTTTTCTTAGGCAATTATATACACTAGAGATTTACTTACACATAAGTTTTACACATTATATTTGTATAAAATTTTAATAATTTATTTATTGATTTTTAATAATTAAGATTTATTTATATTTATTAAAAATAATTATATGAGATTGTGTAATGAAAATTAATCTTCTCTCATTCTTTAATCCACTTTATTCACATGTTAGACTACTCAAGATTAAGCCTTCTTAATTTTATTGAAAAATAATTACTATTAAACTATATATATATATTTGATCTTGGTTGCATGATAAGAGGGAATTATTTTTCATCCTTTATTCCACCTTACTAAGGTGTTATACGACTTGAATTGACTTGAATTCAAGATCTCTTACTTTTAACGGAATGAGATAACCACTAAATTACTTAAGTAATTAGCAATTACTATTAAACTATTAAACTTGCTTAATTAGATATATATTATGTACTGTATTCTCTAAGCAAACTAATAAAACAGTAGTTAAATGATATCCAGATCAGAACGCAACTTGCATGCAATTCCCAATGGTCAAGTCTTGTAGTAATATCTAAATGAGGTCGTAGTTTCCTCGGTTGGAGTATTGCTGGTCCAAATTTGGTACAACTTTCACAGTTAATGACTCCATTAAATCACTTCTACCCAAAAAAAAAAAAAAAAAAAAAATTGCAAAAAAGTTGTACCAAAAAATTCTAATTTGTTCGATTTATTGAGTCAAGTCTAGGTTTTTTAGCAATATATATATATATATATATATATATATTTGTAAGTTGTATTTTGATTAATAAAAAAGTGTATAAAATTAAAATTGAATCAACAAAATGAGGTGAGGAAGAATACTGATTCAGAGATCAAAGAGAAAGAGGGGTTGCAGAAGAGCTTTTGAAAACTATGGAAGGTGAAATCAACAACTTCATCAAGGTGTGGATTTTAGCCATGATATCTCCATGCTACTCTTACTACATTGCAGCAAAAATCCCAAGAGGCTTTCTAAGGCTTCTTTCCCTCCTTCCAGTGATTTCCCTCTTCCTTTACCTCCCCATGGCCCTCTATCCCCACGCCCACTAAAACTTCTTTATTTCATCTCCATAGCTTCTCTCCCCATTAAAATCAAACAATACCCAGCTGGAAAATGACAAGAAAAACCTGAAAGTTCATTTCTTGGAACAATTTCTTTGGTTATAAAAGGAGTACTTGCAATTATTCTTTTTAAAGCTCACAACTATAGAAAATACTTGCATTGAAACTTTATGAATACCATTCTTCTCTTCCATCTTGAATTCGGATTGGAGTGCATATATGCAGTGTATGAAATCCCACCAAAGTTCTTTCTAGGTTTTGATCTTGAACCTCAATTCAATGAGCCATTACTTGCCACCAGCTTACAAGATTTTTGGGGTCGAAGGTGGAACCTCAAGTCCTCAGATATCCTTCGTCAAACTATATATAATCCTTTACGACGCATTTCTACGCATATAATTGGACATAGGTGGGCATCTTTGCCGGTAGTTTTAGTCACATTCCTTGTATCAGGTCTAATGCACGAAGTGATTTATTACCACCTAACTCATTTGCGTCCAACATGGGAGGCTACTTTGTTCCTCATCATGCAAGGAATCCTTGTGGATGTTGAGATAGTGATGAAGAAGAAGAGGATGATGGGGAACTGACAGTTGATTAGTGTCATCTCAAGGCCATTGGTGTTGGGATTTCGAGTAGTGACCTCTATTCGGCTCTTGTTTGCACCATTGTTGAGAAATGGTATGCCTGAGAAAGCCTTCATAGAATACTCCATAGCAGTGGATTTTGTGAAGGAATTTTTATCATATTGAGTTTCTATATGTAAAGCTAGTTTTCCACTCGCACTCCATGCTTGTTGCTGTGGTGTTAAGGTCAAGATTTTTTACTTGACTTAGAAGGTCAGTTGATTATAAATTTTTACAAAAGGTGTATTCTAGAGTTAAATGCTAGGTTTAAATCTCACTTTTCTAAATTTGTACTTGTTTAATAAAAAAAGTCAAGATTTTTTTTTCGTCAGCTTGAG